GTGTGTGTGTGTGTGTGTGTGTGTGTGTGTGTGTGTGTGTGTGTGTGTGTGTGTGTGTGTGTGTGTATGTGTGTTTTAGAGGACACTGTCACAGATATAAAAACTTCCAGTCCAGCTAGATTTTTCTACACCAACCAAGGATCTTCTCGGTTGTTCTGCCCTTTATCGGCCCTTTCTTTCCCCTTTTCCCTTGCTATGTTTATTTTTCCCTTTCCTTCTAGTGCCATCAGTCTGTCATTCTCCACCCTCTCTCTTTCTCTCTTTCCTGTGTGATTGCTCTTAAACCTCCTGTAGGAGCAGTTTCACTGCAGAGAGGCTGTCCATTACTAACTTACCATCCAGTAAAGTGGAAAATGTGATTTGAGTGTGTGTGTGTTTGAGTGCCTAGTTGAGGGACTTGGTGACAGTCCCAGCCTCATAGCTCATGGGGCAAAGACTTCGGGTTTCAGAGGAATCAGAGAGTAGAAATAGACTCAGTGTGGGTAAGTGTGCATGTGTGTGTGCGTGTGCGTGTGTGTGTGTGTGTGTGTGTGTGTGTGTGTNACTTGGTGACAGTCCCAGCCTCATAGCTCATGGGGCAAAGACTTCGGGTTTCAGAGGAATCAGAGAGTAGAAATAGACTCAGTGTGGGTAAGTGTGCATGTGTGTGTGCGTGTGCGGGTGAGTGTGTGTGTGTGTGTGTGTGTGTGTGTGTGTGTGTGTGTGTGTGTGTGTGTGTGTGTGTGTGTGTGTGTGTGTGTGTACCTGTGTAGTTGGGGGGACAGACGCAGGTGTAGTTGTTCACTCCGTCGATGCAGGTGGAGTTGTTCTCACAGTCGTTGTCCTCACAGTCGTCTGGGTTTATCTCACAACGCTGGCCTTCAAAACCCGGTGGACACACGCAGCTGGAAACACACAAACACACAGTGAGCATTATAAGATGGTGACTGAGCAGATCTGAGCACACACTCCTGCTGCACAACTTGAAATAAAACCAGCCGGATGAATCTGCTGCTCAACTTCATCTCCCCTTAAATTATCGTATTAAGGGCAGACAAACTATTGAATCTGTATTCTAGTGGCTTTTATTTCCACTGGTTCTTACACACCACTGGAGTCTTATCAAGATAAATCCCTTATTTTATAGCAGAAATTAAGTTTAATTTTAACGTGGCTGTTTAAAGTTTTACTACTCCTGCCTAGCGCTAACCCTCGTTGACTATTTTCTTCTGCTCTAAAACACATGGGAAAGCAGTCTTCTCTGTTGAACACAGCCTTTTGATTCATGTCTTCTTGTTGTGTCTTTCCTTTACCAGAATGTCCTTCAGGGTCTATGAAAAAACTAAATCAACACATCTCGCGCGAAGAAAAAAAATGCTGAAACAACGTTTTGAATTTCTGGTTTGACGCCACTACAGTTACCACCTTGGCGACTAAAGGAATTATCAAAGCCGACTTTCCCCCTCATCTTCCTCCCCAGATTTATTTCACCCTCCTCTTTTCTCTGCAGCCCTTGATGTCTCTCCTCTTCCCACCCTCCTTATCTCAGTTCGGTTAACTCCCTATAATAGATCACATGCACTCAAAAACACACAGCGCCTTTAGGTAAAGATAAACACCATGAATCTGACCACAGCTGCACTCAGCGGTTCGACCTCTCTCACGACTGTCTCTGCTTCTGTTGGTCTCTTACACTTCACTGAACAAGTTTCTTTTATTGGATCAAAAGATTTCAGAGGAAGGTCATCCTACACATTTGTGTGCGGAACCGAATCATCCCACACAAACAGAAACTGATATATTAAACTGATCCTCATATTCCCTTGCACCTGTGAATGTGTTTCATTGATTCAAATGGTTGTTTCCCATTCATGCCAAAAAGTAAAACTGTCTCATCTTATTTTCCTATAGTAGACAGTATTTATTTACCCTTTTTGTCCTGATAAATGATTAGCTGTGGGTATGGTTATATGTTTTAATTTGCATAAAGTTATACATTTAAAGGAGTAATTCCTCTGCAAAGTCGGCGCCACAAGAAAATGAGACAAGGGAAAATGTAGGAGTTAGAAATAAAACGTTAAGTTTTTCTAAGAAATATAAATCAGAAAAGACGGCCAGCGCAGACAGGGTCAGACAGAGAGCACTGCTCCACCAATCACATCCCAGTCTTGACATTTAAAGGACATTTTTTGACAAATGGGTCCCTGCTAAGAACCGAGGCTAATTGGACTTATTGAATATCCCCGACCGATTATATAACATGATAAAATGTCAAAGGGGTCTGGTCCCCAACTCTTTCTGTCTGTGAGTCTCAGAGGTCACACGTACCCACCTGTGTTGGTATTAACATTTAAGAGAAGATCTGTAAAGGGTAAAGAGACCCCTAATAGCATTACCACGAAGGAAGTTAAAGGCCAGATGCACATCAAAGATTCACAAAGGGCAAAGGCCTTGTTAAGGTACAGGCGGATCTGGTTAAGGTATTCACGACAATTGTTTCAATCAAAGCTGCTGTTTGTCATGAGTCCGAGACAAAGAGGGATTTGTTTGAGACACTGATGACCGTGGCATGTGTGTGTGGACAATTACAGTATTGGTCATGAAGAATGTAGACTACGTTTCTCTCTTTGTATAAATTGAGCAAAATCACTTGTAAGGCTGCCGTAAAGAGGCCCTTTCATGCTTTTGCGGTTCTCAAATGTTCCTGTGTGTTGTATATTTTGTGTGCATCTAAATGGTCTGCAAAGGCTGAAATCCCTGTGTTCCCTCCACAGGGACTTTCTCTCCCACACACTCCCCCCCCCAGCCTGAAACGCCCAATAGGACTCCTTTGTGTTCTTCAGAAACATAGTGACATCACTACGTAAAACTTGTGCTTCTCTTGGCTAGCACTCCAACACATTGTTTGTGATAGGGTAAATGTTGGGACATCTCTAAGCTGTTACTAACTGGTTTCAGACAGAGGGTGAAAAGAGGTTCTGCGGCACAGGCAGTATGATAAAAATAAAGACCTTTTTTTAACATAAAAGGGCTCTTTTTTAGCTGAAGCTTTTTTTTATCACTGCAAAACCTTTATTTTATGAGTGTCAAATGTGGTGTATTTCTGTTCTGGTTAACTTTAATGGCAAAAGGGCTGTTTTGTTAAAGAAATCACCAAATAAAAAAGTCACACTACTCACTTCATTTCATCACTTTTCTTACATTTGGATTACTTTTGGTTTGTGGTCTGCTACTTGAGCTCCATTTGGTCTCATGTCACTATATGTTTAAATTAGGCGTAGAGGTGTGAAAAGCTATTTTAAGATCCCGCATCGGCTGCACTCCCTGAACAGCTGCTGCGGAGATGCTCTTGACCTCCAGCGCCTCCTGTGGAAGCTGCAGGAGTCAAACTGAAATTGTGTTGGGCAGCTCCCAGGTGTGAATGTGTGCAACTGCATGAATGTGAATCAGGGGTTCCTGGACAGGAGCGAGCAAGTGCAGGACGCTTATCCAGGATGAATATAAATGAATAAAGGGGTCAAGGCTTTTTGAATGGGGATTAAAGCTTATGCTGTTCATCAGCTTAAATTACTTGACAGTTAAAGTATTATGGATGTTTCTTTTAATTGGGGATTGTCTGAGGAATGTCAAGGGGGATTTATTTTTCCATAGTCCAAAGAAAGTCATTTAGAGAGCTTTACATGTCTATTGTTTCGCTTTGAACACACTGATTGCAATAAGTCTAAATCTTTTCAGTGGATATGTACAGTAAAAAGTGAGAGCCAGAAAGACTGATCATGTTTCATCATGCATGCATGCTGATCATGCATTGCAAATACCCTACAATAAATGACCTGTGCATTGTACAAAAACACAGATACCACATACATTTGGGTATCAATGCTTATTTTAAAATGAAAGGCTCATGTCGACATAATTTCTTTGTTGTGATAGATTATATTATATGGTGCTTTACATAATATGTGTCTAACCACCAAAGAAATACCACACATGGGAACAGTGTGTCGTCATGTTAATGGAAACTCAGTTGAGCGGTGGACACTGACAGAATTTTAAAACATCCCTTGGAGCATGTGAGGAGGTCAGAGAGGGCGTACAGATTTAATGAGCAACCCAAATGGGGGTTCCTTCTTCCTGTCTTACCCCCTCCTCCAACCCCACAGCAAACCCAGGCAGGAAAACGCATCATATGGTCAAAGTAAGTTGCTATCTTGGATAATGCATTGTCCAGTGATGACTGTCCAACCTATTCATGTAGTCAATATTTATGTGAGCCGAGTAAAGTACATTTTTCTTTAAAATGAGAATACAGGGGGATGTTTATAAAATAATCACACTAATAGAGAGGTGTGGCAGTGCAGTGGCATATTGAAGCTTAAGCTCAATTACACAGCTTTGGGGGTTTGAAACTACTATATAAGACATATTATTTAACAATAGATTTGTACCTGAAGTGGTCTTCAAAGCCAGTCTGGATGTGGCAGGTTCCTCCATTAGTGCAGGGGAAACTAACACAGGCATTGATGGGTATTTCACAGTTGTGACCCTAGAGGAGAGGACAAGCAAAAAGAAAAGGTTATAACTGGACATCAGATTCGATTATTCTGGAGATAATACGACGACAGTTCTGCATTTACTTTGGCTCTCCATTACATGTTCCTGTTACTTTCTGATTGTGTTAAACACTTGCACTGACAGCAGAAGATGTGGCTAATAAGCTACATGCTAATGATGGGAAACGTACGTTTGGGTGACCAGATGGTGCAGGGATAAAGGCAATCGCCCACCAGAGACATGGGATCAATACCTTGCATGGACCTAAAGAGTAAATACAGTTGGCAGCAATGGTGTGCCTGCAAGCACTGCAGAATTGAAATACATCTCTCTGGGATTAAAAAACGTTTATAAAAACTGAATTTCTATTTTAATATGGAATTTTTTTTCACTATTGCCTTTTCCAAAAATTAAAATAAATAATATTTTTGGACTAATGACAGGTTGACATACAATGACCGTAGGTGTTATTGCTTTTTCAAGGAATAAGTCGAGCTGGGTAGGCCAGACAGTTTCCATTTAGTTTTTAGACGTATATCTAACTACCAATTTTCTGCTCAAGGACCTGAGACTTTTTTTATATTTGAGATGTAGCGAAAGCCTGCCAATAGATAGAAGGTTTAATTAATCTTATTCTGGTTGGTTAATCTAAAAATACGGCAATTTCTTAACCAACCGCTCTACTTTCTTCCTTTTAACCCACAAGCACAGCAATCAGCTCACCCATGTGTTTTCACTGTGCAGTGTGCACACATGTACAGTATGAGTACTCTGGCTGCTGCTTTGATTCATTGCTCTCTTCACCACACACCTGTTTTCTAAATAAACAGCTTTCACTAGGAACTGTATCATGTATCAGAGTCCTCCACATACACACCCACTCTCTCTGTCTCCACATCGAGCCCTGGGGCAGTAGTTTTAATTTCAAACCACCAGACCTTTGGCCACCAACACACCCGCCTCCTCTGATCAAAGCAGCTAACAGGACGTTTGTTCTTGCTGTCCTTCTCCATCTGTCTTCATTATTTCCTCCTCTTTTCCTTTCATGTATATCTTCACTTTTTCTTTCTTACTTACTCTCCCTCTTTCTACTCTTTCCTATCAATTTGTTCTCAGTAACCCATTTGCAATTTGTCTTTCTTATACATCCACCTAGGTTACTCTATCTCCTGTTGTTTGAGTTTGTCTCACTTCTTCCTCTTCATCTGTCTCTCTCCCTTCTTTGTTCTCTGCGGCTCCTTTGATTCCTCTAACACATTTTAATTAACGTTGTCCAAGTGGACACAGAAAGGAAAACATACACTCAGACATGCACATGCACAGAAACACACTTAGGTGCAAACACACACCGGTACACACACCCATACACACACCCCAACAGTCCCTGTTTTCCAGTCTGTGACCTTGGCAAGTGATGGTCTAATTAAAAGCGAGATGAAGGCTTTGTCCTCCTGTAAAAGCCCAAAGGTTATGAGGAGTGTGCACACATGAGACCACAAGTGTATCTGAAAACTGCTTGCACATACACACACAAACACTGATACACACACACACACACACACACTCCCACAGAAGCCTGAACCGTCTGATCTCTACACACGTACAAACAATCTGGTTGGTAATCTGATGTGTACACACATACATTCACATACATTACACACACACACACACACACACACACACACACACACACACACACACACACACACACACACACACACACACACACACACACACAGCCTTAATGCAAATCGAACTCTCACTACTAGATTTTCATGTCTTTCCTAACGCAGGGTCTTGACAATTATTACACCCTTCGTCTTTTGACCGGTCGATACCTTCCAGGTCAGCAAGCTGCAGTCATCATTTCTCTATTGATGAACAGGTAGATGCATTATGCATGCAAGGCCAAAGCTAAGCTAGATAATACTACTAATACCAAAGGCTTATGCAGCATGGCTATCCATCCAGGATACCTTTCACACATGCAGCTGAGCCAGTTCCATGAATCTGACAGCAAAAGTAACAAATGTTTTGCTGCTGTGCCGCCCAGATCCACAATTCAAAGCTTCAGGATACAGAGGGAACATTGCATAAATAATGCTTATTTATGAGACAGTGCTGGTAGTAGGGATCAGGGGATAGAGTAACCTTGTCAAGTTTCACATCTACTTCATTATAATTTCACACTTGAAACATTTTGTAATCACTTTTAACAATTAAAGGTGGGGTAGGTAATTTTGGAGAAACCAGCTCGAGTACGCTAGAATTTGAAAATACACAGCCGGAAAAAATCTGCCACTTCCTTACAGAGCCCCTCCTCCAACACACATGAGATAAGTTTGTGCACAGATGGAAGGCTGACAGGCAGGTCGGCCATCCAGTTATTTTAGCCGGCTAAAATGATTGGTCGTGCTTTTTACAGCACTACGGCTTCCACAGAGGAAATATTTGTATGTATTTATTGTCAAAGCATTTAATATATTCATTGCTATCGGGATGTTAAGAGCATTCCATGGAATATAACAAAAAGTGTTTCTGAAATAAATGACATACCCCACCTTTAAATGGAGTATGGAGGGGATGAACTTCTTACCCAATAAGACATAAAAAATGGTCAATACGGGATCATATGAGGGATTTCTTAAATGTATATTTGTATATTAATATAGATAAAAAGTGCATTGGGACCTTGCAATATCACTTCAAAATCTCTAATATTTAGTAAACTGTGGGTTTGTTGAGATTAAACGAAGTTGGCTTCTATTGTAAACTAAGGACCGAACACATATTACATACACTATACTCTATATAGTGTCTCACCTTGAATCCATACGGGCAGGAGCAGCTGTAGGATCCAGTAGCATCAGAGGCACAGGTACCATTGTTTTGGCAGGGTGCTGCCAGGCAGGGGGCGCACTTAGACATCAGGCTGATGTCTACCGGACCTACAAAAGATAACAGAGCCAGGTGAGTGTAAGATACACGAGGGAAACAAGAAATGGAGGTAAGGAGAGAAAAAGGAAGCACAAATGGATTGTTTCCAGTAAAAATGTGTGAGAGGATAAGAGAAGTAAGAGCTTATACATGTGTTTTGTTTTTCAAAGGCTGGTGCATAGGAGCGAGCTTGAATCCCTGTGATGATGTGAGTTTCCTCTATACCTGGACAAAGCTTTGATCCCAGCACCTGAGTGAAAGTACAATTTATACTACCCACTTTCACGCCCCTGCGTTGCTGTTCCTCCTTGCATGTACTGTAGGACCATGGTGTTCAAGATTTATTCTTTTCAGTGTGTAAATGTCCCCGTGGTCTGATACCAGGGGAGCCCTGGGACAGGTTATTATAGAGCTGAGTTGACCCTGTCCTCAAGATATAACTGAGAGGTTTTTTTATGTTGCTCAATCTTTCTCTATAAACGTAGGCAATCCTCTTTCAGAAATGGCGAGCTGTACTGCTGAGTAGAGTACTAGACAGTAGTTCTTGATGCATAAATGCTTGATTAAAGTTTGTTTTCAGAAACATAACAATAGCATAACAATATATACAAGAACATTGAGGTACATTAAAGTGGCTCACCCAGAAAAATAGGATTTGCTTTAAAGCCTTCCTCTAATCTTAGCTATTTGCTGCCTCCAAGCTTTAAACATTTATCTAAAGTGCAATATCTCCAAAAAACGTTGTGCTCTGAAGAGGTGGAAATGCTATACAGAAGAAAACACAGTTGCTAAAGCCAATCCCATCTCGCACTTAGAGTAAAAGTTAGAGCATGCTACACCTTGGACAGGTAACTTAGTCTACAACACATTATCGCACAGACAAAAAACACATTCACACGTCCTTTAAGACCAATGAACAGTTAAAGGTTTGTGGATGTTTTTGGACTGAAGTCCAGTGGTCGGCAATCGATCTTGCTGTTGGTCTGAATTGCACACAGCCATGTAAATGTTAGACCGTTGGCAGCCCTCCTCACCAAAAACACTGAAACATGACCTGAGACTGGGTATAAAGTCAATGTTGGCCCACAGATTGCCTAAAGACAAAAGCCAGACCAGTGGAAGAAAAGCTAATCACACAGTTGCTTGACTTCCACTGGTCTGGATCTTTCAATGGAACACTCCAAGGTCAAAAATAAAATACTCCACCAATGAAAACAAGTAAAATGGTCAAACTTAACATAATATTAAGACTCAGATAGAGTAGCAATCCAGTTCACTTTGAAAGAGTCATGACACAGAACAAGATGTTTCCAGTACTAAAACAGGACATACCTGATATAAAATACCTGATATAAAATACTGGTAGCAGTTGATGATAAAAAGACCAAAGGAGGTCAGTGAGCAGAATAAAAAGGAGACTATTTACCTTTACACTGGAATCTGTTGAGTGGCGTGGTGAGCAGGAGCCTGTCAGTCATGTCAGGAGGTCCCGTACAGCGAGCAATGCCTAGAAAAACACATTTACCGTTAATTGACATCAACAGAGACTTCTCATCAACAACATTTGAGATCAACTTAACAGAATTTGACATATTTTGGATGGAGGTATTTTGATAGATTTTGTATTTTCTTACCAGGCTCTTTGAAGCCAGCCTTGACCCACTGAGAGAGCCAGCGCAGGTCACAGTTACAGAACAGGGGGTTGGCACCAAGAGCACTACACACACAAACAGAATTAAAATGTTATCCACAACACTTGCAGTCAAGACACACACACTATAGTAGATGAACGGCGCTGCACTTACAGGTGGGACAGAGCGGTCAGGTGGTTGAAAGCTCCTTCTGGTATTGTTGAAAGGTCGTTACCATGGAGAGTGCTGGAGAACAGAGAGAAGTGTACATGAATATTAAATACACAAAACTAACCTTGTTACAAATTTAAAAGGGTCACTTTCTGACCCGTTGTTAATTTTAATTAGCACTTAATTAATTTGATGAAGCATTATTTTATAATCACACTTTCTGCAGCAAGTAGAAGGATGCTAAAACATTTATTTTGTTTGGTTCGAAGCATGTAAAAAGACCAGTGGTTAACACAAGTTGTTCATGTTTTGTCAAACGTCTTGAACACAGAAAAGGGTACTCGCTGGTGCTGTGGTGTGGTTTGTTTAAAGCTTAACATAAGTGTTTAAATTGAAAGCATTTACACTTTAAACTACATAAAGGTTGTATTTATTTGTGAGTTTAGCATGCTGAACGAAACATATACTGTATCATAAACGTTTGTTTTCCAAAGAGCTTATTTCAGTATTAATCCTACAGTCAAATATTCAATTTCCTATTTGTCCACAAACAATGACGATGCTATTTTTCAGGTGGGCACATTTTGAAATGGATGATATGGATGGGCAATCATTCCTTCTACTATTGTACTTATATTGACACAGCTGCCATTGTTAACTGTCCTTACTTAGATACAAATCGTGAAACTGTGTTTAAGGTTTACGTATCGTCAACAGCACTTATGACTAATCGTAACACACATATCTAAACAAGCCCACTGCCTCAAATACTGTACATCATATCAGAGGTAAATGGAACTGAAAACCAAGCTGCCCAATACTGGATTTCCAACAAACTAATACACCAGCCCTGACTAGCTGCATGCTAAATTATTCAAATTATCTGTGGTTCCTCGGCTGCAGACACACCGTCCTCCCATTTTATAAGGGAACATAAATCAAATATTTCTGAAAGAAAAACACAAAATAAACAGATTTCTTATTTTCATCGTTGGACAATAAATGTCGTCCTGGTCCCTGAATATAAACTGTCTCATATGGTCGTGCGTGTGTGTGTGTGTGTGTGTGTGTGTGTGTGTGTGTGTGTGTGTGTGTGTGTGTGTGTGTGTGTGTGTGTGTGTGTGTGCTATATGCCTGTGTATCAGTGAAAATGTACGTGTTTGTGTGCATCACCGTCTGTGTGTATTTGTGCATCTATTTATGGTGGTCTAACAGCCCAAGTGTAAGTCTGGCCCAGAGGGGGTTGTGGGTAATGAGGAAGTGACAGTGATGGCTGCCTGGCAACCAGTTGCTATGCGGGGCCAGACAGGGATCAGTCCCCAAGGCAACATCAACTAAAATGGAAGGAAGAAAGGAGGGAAGAAACAAAAAAAAAAGCAAAACTTCTACAAGGAAAAAGCTTTGTAGGAGATATATATGTGGATATATAGAAGAAAGGCCAGAATCAAGGCACACTTCTTTACGCCTGAAACACCGACATTTTCTTAATGAACAAACAATGGTGGCAATAGCTCAGGAGCAACTGTATACAGAGTATGATACAATGCAAATGTATCAGATCTCAATTGATTATTTATGTTAATAGGGCTTCATTTGAACGCTGTTTATAATGAATGTTACATTTTACCAATAGATCTTTATCTTTTTCCTTTTGAGCCAATAGTATCACTAACATATTCAGTAAAGATTATCAGTGTTAACTCTACTATTTGCATTATATTTTGCACCAAAAACACCACTGTGCCATCAAGCTTCAAAACTACATATTCACAGAATTTAAGTTGTTGTTGTAAAAATGTTGTCCAAACATATTTAGAAAAGTAAAAGGTGAAAGTGGCTACATTTACTCTGTGATGCAAAACATCAGGGAATATGATAATGTAGCCTTGCTTTGTTAAGCCTCTACCCCTAGACAGGTTGGTTTGATAATAAATAAAGACACTCAATTAATTAGATTTTCATTTAATTACCGCTGGTGTTTTTCTGGGTTCCTTAAAACTATTTTGGTGTTGATTATCAAGAGTAACAGACACTGTTTGAAAGCTATGCTGCTGTTATGTGAGTATACTTGTCTTTGGGGTACATTTACCTTTAAGACATGCTTGATGATGATGTTAAAGAGTTGTTTAACACTTAATGATAATCATGTTTTATTTCTGGGGATTTCTGACCTTGCTGCAGAAATGTACAGGTGTACCGCAGGACCCAGTGCCATCAATATTATTACCAACGTACAACTTGAAATGCTACGTATGGCATGTATACGAACTAAGAGTGTGTGTTTCAGGTTGTATGTGTGGGCGAGGATGGTTAGACAGCAATATGCATGTGTACACTGTGCCTGTGTGCGTTTGCGAGACAGAGGGTGGACAACCAGATGGATGACTGAGAGAAACAGAGGCTGGAGGTCGATTCATCAAACACAACATTGGGCGGGGAGAGAGAGAGAGAGAGAGAGAGAGAGAGAGAGAGAGAGAGAGAGAGAGAGAGAGAGGGAGAGAGAGACACACATGTGGAAAAGAGAGGCCAGGATGCAGATGGAGAGGCAGTATTACAGAGGAGATGAGAGATTGTCACTTTTATCTCCTTTAGTACCCTGAAACAACAAATGATTGGGTGGCTGTGACTCATTGTGTGACTGGGTCTTAACATGGCACTCGGCCTGGCACCAGGGGAGTGATTAAACTTTGATTGAGCTCAGTACTATGACTAGCAAAGGGAAGTGTTGAAAATTGAATTCACTGCGGCACTTGAAAAAGATGAAGCTTGCTACTCACAGCAGGCGTAGTGACTTCAGCCCGTCGAAGGCGTTTACCGGGATGCAGCGAATCTGGTTATAACTCAGGATGCTGAAAGACAGAGGACACGCACAAGGTCACAACACTCAGTTTATGAAACCATACGCTGTTTTTCACAATATGATTTACTGGGATTAACTCATTTCAAATGTCATTCTGTTGTCTCTGAGACTACATCCCTAAATGCATTACAATTAATGTAGAGGGGCTGAAATAAAGAGATTAAAAAGAGGGAGGACAGGAGGGATGACACAGCAGATTTGGTTTAAAATACCTAAAGCGTAGCCACTGTAGGTTAAACAAGGGGATATAAACTGGAGGCCACCTTTCAGTGTGTGGAGTTTGAAGAAATCTGCCAGAGGCAAAGCTGAGGCTCCTAAATCACAGCATCTCTCTTCTGAAACTGCCAATGAACTAAAAAGTTTAGTAATGTATGAAGGTGAAGAAAAAAACATGAAAGGACAGAATTCTGATCAGGTTGGCTGTTTCAGAGTGCCATCCTTATTCTCACATAATTAAGCCATATAATGATGCTGTGGTAAAAAGCTGACTGTCTGACCAGGAAAACACAACAATGGTGATCAGCAGTTTTGGGGCTTATGATGCTCTACAATGAAGAATCATAATGACTGGTTATCAACAGTATCTCCAACTTCAGGTTAAAAACTGATGTTGAATTTAGAGAATGTAGACTAACAGCCAACACGTCTACAGGTTGGGAAAATGTGGAAACACTCCTCCACCTCGGTGTGTTTGGGCAAGGCATTTAACGCAGCAAGCGTTCCACTGATGCTATCTGCGGGCTAACAGTAGGACTCTGTGTTTGTACTGGGCAGCTCCCAGGCATGAATGATTGCAACCTCTATGAAATATAAAACTAGGCGTAGCTGGAAAAGAGCAAATGCACTTTCCATCGACACATTACAATTCCTCCAAATTGATGTGAAATCCATGGAACAGATAAGATAGAGGCAGAAAAGAGACGACTTTAGCAATAGAAGGACATTTTATGTGAGATTGAAAGGCAGGAAAGAGTTGAAGAGAGGGGAATTTCAGAGGAGCCAAAGCAGATTATAATCCAAGAGGTTCATTGAGTGAGTGAAAGGGAGGTGAAAGGACATATTTTAAAAGGAATAATACGATGGGAAAGCAATATACTACATGTAAGCAATGAGATGAAAGAGGAATATGATAGAAGAATAAGATAAAAGTGAAGCTTGAAATGAGATGGGGGAAAGGCTGGGGGGAGAATAGAAGAAGGAGGAGAAAGGTGAAGGGTCATTTCGGGTACAATTAGGACAGAAGTGGGGAAGCTAGAAAGGAGAAGATGAAGATACAGACGAAGAAGAAATAAGAGAGAAAAGAAGAAGCAGGAAACTATAAAGAAAATGTCAGGAGAAGATAGGGCGATTAATCAAACTTAAGAGCAGAAAAACACTGATTTATCTTGTGGGTTTCACCCTTACACACACACACACAACCAATCAGGACGTAGACGGTGTTGTATGCAGGCATGACTAGGTGAGCGTTGCCACAGTAACTCACAGTGTGGCTAGTTGAGTCATGTTGTTGAAGGTGAACGAGGCCAACGTGCTGATGCTGTTGTTGCTCAGGTCCCTGTGTGGATACAAGCATAAAGTCAGGACACACATACACACTCAACAGATGCATGGCAGGTTATTTAAATTGTCTGCAAACAAGAATGTGTGTATTCTGTTCAAGGTTATGCGAGTGCTACGTACACCAGTGACAGCTGCTTCAGGCCGGCCAGCTCCTTGGGCACAGATGTCAGCATATTACCCTCCAGGTATCTAGAAAAAAAAAGTGCATAGTTAGTGTGAAATATATTACATCTACTATGTATTTATTCACCTATACAGACCTACGGGCTGAGAAAAATTGCAATATACGACATAAAAGTTTTAGTTGTGCAACTTCTGTCACACCAAAGAGAGCAGGAGGCAGGGGACATGCAAAGCAGATGAGAGTATATTTTGAACTCTGTTGGGAAGATAAATGAGGTAGAGCTTTATTGATTATTCTGCTAATGGATTAGTCAAACAACAGAAAGATAATGTCCAACTATTAAGATAATTGATGTGATTTGTCATGTTTTCAGCCTCTCAAATACAGAGAATTACCGTTTTACCCCTCACAAACAGGATATGGGATCTTAAATGTTGTATGATATTTGAAATTAGGGCTGAACGATTAATCGATTTTAAATCGAAATCGCGATTTGAAATGATGCGTTTATCAAATCGCAAAGCCTGCAATTTTTTTTTACTTTTTTTTTTTTTTTTTCTTCTTGTGTGTCAGTCATCCACACCAATCAGAAGTGCTGTGCTCCACATGT